GGCAATACGACAGCAGAACTCTAACATTGGAAGAAACTTCTGTCTGCTCTGATCTCTTGCGATGCGATGGATGTTGGTCATCCGACTCCAAGGAGCACAGTGCGGCGCCGTAAAGATGACTTTAGGCTTCTGTTTCTCGATGCTCTCCTCGTCCTCTTACGACCGTCACTGGTCAAGATATCAAAACCTGTTCGGAGGTCAATAGGTTGTCCAACACGCAACCCGTTCATGGCAGCTACTTGACTCAACCGTGCTGAACCTGCGAACAACTCTAGAAATCAATCTTGCCAGTCATGACAGTGTTGCCATGCATAAGAAGAATATGTAAAGCCTTCCACACCGATCTGGGCTCCGTCGCTCTGGACTAAAGAGCTTGCATGGTCAATGACCGGAATATCGGTCCGTGCACTCTCAGAACTCAGTAGTGCAACCGGGTCGAGTGGCGCCTCAACATCTTCAATCGGGTTGATGTCCTTTCGGACCTTACTGATGTTGACCTTTAGAATTCTGGTGCCTAAGTCTATACCAACCATACTGCCGTCAGAACTGATAACCTTGCCCTTGATCCATTTACCGCTATGGGTTCCATCGGATTTTACCTTGGATTTGTCTTCTGCCCAATAGTAGATCTTATCACCAGGATAGAATGGACCATCACTCAGTTGAAGTCTTGCTGAAATGTCTCGTCTCAAATCATCTGATTGTTTTGCTTCTAAGTAAGACTTCATGGCAAGTGTTCTGAGGGCATCAATATTCTTTTCAGGAGAAGGAAGTGAAGCTGTAAGCTGTTCGGGTGTCATGTTCTCTGGATACAAAAGGTCTGCAGGTCGTCTTCCAAATGCCATCTCCGGTGGAGATACTCCACCAAAAGTTACCATAGAGTTCCTGGCAAGTGATGCTTGTCTGCGGAGTTGACGGTACGTGATCTCGTATCTGGATGGATCCTCAGTCACGGCCTTAAGCATCAGGGCGATCTGCTTTTTGTACATGCGAACAGCTGCTTCAGCTCTATTTGGCCATGGAGTACCAGGTCCTAAAGTAATTGGTCGGATGTTCTTCCTGTTGTAAAAGGCTTCAAGTTCAGTACCCATGAAACCTTGATCACCGACAAGATACTTAGGATCCAACTGATATGTTTCAAAGTATTCCAGAAGATGGCCAATGGTTTCTGCTTCAGTCTTGCCGTTACAAACGTAAGCAGTGGTCATAAAAGTTGCACCATCATAGATGATCAGGAAAAGAAGTTTAGACTTGTCATTGATAGCTAGTTCGCCATGATCAATGAAGGCGAGTTCACCGAACGTTTCGCTTCTCATACCTGAAATTCTTGACCTTGAAGGTGCAATTTTTGACTTCTGACATGTGTCGCACTGCTTGACTACTTTTTCATACTCTTCATGGATCTTAGCAGGAATCTTCAAAGCTGATGTGCGTTTCTTGAACTGCTCAGTTGACATGTGATAGTGTTTCAAGTGCAGTTTCAAGAGTTCAGTTGGATGAGACAGCTTTTCATGAATTCTCTGCAAAGCTAACGGCAATGTCATTGAAACCTTTGGTGCCTTCTTCTCTCTGTGAACTGTTGTTGGTATTGGTTTCACGTCTTCCCTTGTTTCTTCCTTTGTTTCTTCCTGAGGATCTGACTTCACCGGCATATCTGGTGCTGCTGGAGGTACGTCTGGCTTCTGTGCTCCTGAGCTCGAACTTGGAATCTTCGAATGCTCAAATGGCGTACCAAAATCAGGTGACTTTTCTGTCTTCCAGTATGTCGGAGGTGTCACCGTCTTAGCCGGTGGAGGCATCGAAATAAGCTTCGATTCGATGGCGGATCGACCTTAGCATCTCCACTTGCGACTTTCTTCTCTGGCTTTTTAGCCGGAATATCGGCTGCCGACTTGTCTTCCTTCACTTCGGATGGTTCTGCCTTCTTGCATCCATCTTTGTACGTGTGCTTACGATGCTTGCCACTACAGTGGACATGATGCATACGAAGGATTGATCGCTGTGAAGCTGTGGTTCGGCTTTCGAACTGAGCTGGCAAACAGCATGATGTCTAAGACATTATGGTTCGAAGTGCTCACTGGCAGCGAAAATCGCTTCAGGCCGAACAAAGGACAAGTCAAATAGTCACCAACTGGAGTGTGCTCTATGGACATGCGAAGGTTCCTGAGCTGCTCAACGCTGAAAAGGATTGGAACATCGCCTTGATCCAAGATATCTATCGCTGTTGTGATCCACCCTGTGGGTGTCTGGTCGTTCTGGAAGTATGCTCAACGCTGAAAAGGATTGGAACATCGCCTTGATCCAAGATATCTATCGCTGTTGTGATCCACCCTGTGGGTGTCTGGTCGTTCTGGAAGTATATTACCAGCTTCTCTCGGACGTTGGACTTTTCACCGTTGGCAAATGAAAATCGGCTTGACGAAGGCTCAAAAGAGAAAGCAATCTTGCATGATGGCGGTCCTTGAACCCATTGCTCTTCAACAGCGTGTACAGCCGCTGTCAATGATCACGTAGGTAGGGCTGTACCTCAAGTCGGTATACTCTGAAAGCAAAGCGTGGTGAAATCCATCGTCAAAGTTGACAAATGAAGAACAGAAGCGTGGGTCAATCACTTCAGAACAACCGGAATGTCGGTAGTCTGTACTGCTACCGGCAGGGTTTAGGTGATACTGATGTGAAACATGTTCTTCACCAGTCATTTCTTCTGCATTGTATCCGGAATATCGGAAATCTGCTGACTGGTTCATCTGGCTAGGCCTTGGCTCTGAGCTATGGTGCTCTTCATCTTGCGGTCTGTCCGTCTGTCCGTCCGCAAAGTATGTCCATTGGTGCCAAGTGGCTTCATTTGCCTGCCAGACTTCGTCGGGATAGTACTGGTCTGTGTGATATCCATATGAGTCCCATGACCAATTTGCTTCATGCGCACTCCAGGTTTCTTCGGCACTAGGATTCGGCTGAGCTGATGAAGGCTCTTCGGTGGTTGCAACATTACATTGCTGAAAGGGATTCTGTTGTTTGCTTTTTCCTTTGCCTTTGAATGCATCTTTTCCCTTGAAACCTTTCTTTCCACCTTTCTTTCCTTTCTTGCCTTTTCCATAGAAACCTGAGTTGTCAGGGTACTCTGCATAGTGCGCCCCTGCACCTTTGCCTCTACGGCCGACAGAGCCGGGTCTTCTTCCTTTTCCGCGGCCTTTACCCTTGCCGCCTTTGGATTGTTTTCTGAACCTTCTTCCATGGATTCTTCTACGGATGTATCCTCCTTTAGCTGCTAACACCCAAAATTTGGTTTCTGAGAACAAACTCACAAATCCTTCTACGCTTGTTTCCTGATCCATCACCCAGTATCCGGATTCTTCCTCCAAGTCTCCTTCATCGAGGACAAGGAAAGTGGATCTTCTCTGCCTGCGGATCGAAGGATCGGCAGTTCCTGTGGCGGTTCCGCAAAAGAGATCAAGGAAGCCTTTGACACCTAAGTATGTGTAGTTGTTCATGTTGATCTGACGCAAGGCCATGCTGGCTACGAACCTTTCTCTTTGCTGTTCGTTGAGGTCCGACTGAACTAAGAAAATAAGTGACATCAAGTTGTCAGACGGTGGAAAAGTGTCACGATGTGCTTGTTTCAAAGCATCAATGTGTTCAGAACGGAACCTTTCTGCAGTTTCTCTTCTTTCTGCGGGATCTTGAGTTAATTGAAGTAGCATGTACTGCTGTGGCGAGAGGATATCAGTAAAGTTGAAATCATCAGGGTGTGGAACAGTCGAAAGATCTAACAAGCCCATGAAGGCTTCCATGACTTTCTTACTTGCAACTTCAAAACGAGCGATCCAGCTGACAGGTGTCAAGATGACGCCAAAGATTCCCCCATCCTTCGATGGACAGTCATCCTGGTTCGAGTTTGAGGATCGATTGATTGATGACTGGGTGAATATCACCACACATTGAGCGCCGAAAAATTAGGCCCATCATTGAAGAACGCTCTAACAGGGAACGCCGAATACTATAAAAAGATGCTCGACAATGAACAGCTTCGTCATGAAAGAAACGGTATTACGTATTTCAAGGAGACGGGAGCAAACCATGTTTTTCTCTGGCGTTTCATGCAGCTCGATGGCTGTGCCTCATATGTCCGGAATGTCGAACCTGAGGACCTTGATTGCTGTTGGCGATGACGCGAGCCTTGTGCGGCGAAAGCTTCTTCTGGATCAGTTTCTTCCGACAAGCTGTCGTCATGCTCTTCGTCCGTATCTATGTTAAAGATCTGGACCATGGTCTTTATGTTTCACGAAGGCAAAATCGACCGTTGCGAAGCAGGAGACACAAGCTCCGCTACCACTTTGGGGCAAGTTCCCCCAGAAGTGGCAGTAGCTTTACTGGACCTGATCGAAACACCAAGTGAGGCCACGTGGATCGACGGTGTGCGAGGCAGCGACACCTTTTCTATGGCTGCGGATGCAGTATTGGGCTCCGACAGTCTTGAGCCAAATGAATTAGGTCGATAGCGGACTGAAGAGCTACATACAAGTCTATCTACAAAGAACAGGCGCTACACATGTATGGCGTAGACACGCCTAGGGGACCTAGGGCATTACAAACACAGAGGGGAGGGGAGGAGGGGAGTGGGAGGAGGGAGTGGGAGGGGAGGGGGAGGGGAGGGGAGGGGAGGGGAGGGGAAGTCAGTAAGAGTGGGAGTGGGAGGGGGGGTGAGTGAGTGTGAGTGTGTGAGTGAGTGAGTGAGTGAGTGAGTGAGTGGCAGATTTGCGGAGAGTGTTCCATGAAGGAAGGGAAATATTGCACCTCCTTGCCCACATGCTGTGTGCCCGTCGAAGCTTAGCCCCACCAACACCCAAAGAGACCATATATATATATGTACATATAAATTTCTATCAGTGTCTGTCGCCCATTCATCCATCATTTGAATTTGCCAAGCGTAGGAGTTCTGAGGTTCAGGGACGCAGCCCAAAGCTCGGACACCTGTTTTGGGCTGACCACGTTGGACTGAGGCTTGGAGCAATCTGGCGAAGGTATTTCCGCAGTGTGGAACCCAGCAACAAATCCAACCCTCCAGCCTGACTTCATAGTTGGAGAGTCTTCTGCGGCAAAGTCGTGCGCCGCAATCCGCAACCCAAAAATCTAGATTCTAGATGACGGCGCGCGAGCGAGGAAAATAATTGGAATGCTCAAGTCACCGATCAGCTCCTATATGTCCACTGCCTTGATACTCAAAACGCAATCAGCCATGCTTTGCCACTGCCAAACCCGAAAGCAGTCCAAGTGATTCATATCTGGACATAGGTTCCTCAAGCAGGCTAAAGGCTAGAGCTTGAACGAGTATATATAAGGAATGTTCACAAAAGTTAGTGCTTTCAACACTTATAGTGTTTTGGGGTTCCAGGTTTGATAGCATGCATGTGTTGAGGGCCAGAATGTTGACCGGAAGGGCATTTGGCTCTTCAGGGTATCGTGTTGTCTTACCTCAAGGGTAGCCATGAAAAGACCTGCAGCAGCAAAGAAAGCGGCAAGCAAGAGACCTGCCAAGAGGCGCTCTGGGATCGGGAAGGAGTCACGAGATGTTGAGCATTGGGCCTGGGCACCTAAACATACATGCCATTAGCTATGCAGGCTCGAGCTGGTCAGCTGGTCACTGTTTTGGAAGCATTTGGAATCAATAAGAGCCTAAATCAAAATTAATGAACATTAATCATATCAACCTTTGAAACCAACACAAGAGGCATACAATGTGCCAATGGTATCTGTGATATGATCCAAACCAATCAGCATTGAGTATGGCAGAACAATCAACTGGGGACATTTGACAATGCCTCAAAAGGTGGCATTGGGAAAATTGCTTAGTCAGCCATGCCTTTGTGGCGCTAAGTGCTGTTTCACTCAATTTGGGGAACATGGTGAAGAAGTCCATGCTGAACGACAAAGGTTTCATCGTTTGGATGAAGCTAGAAGAGAGACTTGCAAGTTAGTCAGCTTGAAATTGTTTCTTTGTAATTTATTTTCCAGTATATATCTCTAGGAGAAAAGGCAGCTCCCATTCCCACTAGGAAGAGTTGCTCCGGAAGTGGTACAACGGTCCAGCTTCGCAGCTGACCGATGAATTTGACCGGAAGCTAGATGCTGTGATGTACCAGAGTGATGATGAAGCAATCATGTCCGGGGCGGAGATCCTTGAACAAAGTTCAGATTCTGGTGGTGAAGGTCAAGGCTCTGATTCTGAGGGGGTGTTGCTCGAATCTGATGCCGAACCAGAACCCAAAGAAAGCTCACCTAAGCGCCGGAAGTATGCGAACAGAAATCCCTGTGGTCAACAGACATTTTTGGGTCGGGCAGTGTGCGTGAGGGCACACCAAAGGTTGTATGGCATTGGGTCCACGGCTTTGCAAAACATCCGTCGCAATATGCCTGCTTACACCATGAACGATAAGAGGCTACCAGAACCCAAACATGATGTGTTGAAAGTCTCTACAGTCAGGAGTTCTGAGAATATGCAGTGGCCCCACATAGTGAAGTTCTTTTGGCTGTTGTACATCAGTGCGGCAGAAGTGCTACCCACCAAACTCGTTATGCCTGAAGCGTGGGGCATTGACAAAATGGAGAGGGACCCCGACTTCTGCGAGCGATTCACGACGGGCTTCTTGCAGAATCTTGAAAAACACTTTGATCTGAGTCACCCAGGTCAAATAGGACCTGGAACGTTTCAGGGTCCTCGGCGGTACTTAGAACATGCTCGGGCGATTGACCTCTACATGCAGTACACTGCTCATTCAGATGCTGAGAATGTGCGGCCGGCATCTCTATCGACATTCATGCGGGTCTACAAAAAATATTCTGTTCTCACCTGAGGTTTCGCGACAGGACCGAGTTTGGGCAATGTGGTGTATGTTATCGATACAAAAAGCGCATAAAGCAAGCCACCGCAAGGGCTGAACGTGTGCAATGGACCACATCCTACAGCAATCACCTATTCAGTCAGTGGAGGGATAGGCAATTCTATTGGAGGATGCGTGAATTGTCTCGGCAATTCTTTTCACAAGCCATATCTTTCGGGGTATCCAAGCTGAACTGCATGGAGCTTTCATCCTCAGTGCTGACTGTCATCCAGGATGGAATGGATCAATCCAAACTGCGTGTACCGAAGTGGGGCTACGTTCGGTTGCCTAAATCACTGGATGCCCTGTACCGGCCAGCATTGCACCTTGCAGCCACATGGATTCATGGCGGCCGTATATTTCTCAGCGTCAGCGACGAGAATGTCAAGAAGAATTCCGAGTCACAGTTGGAGCAACTAGCAAGAGCCCTATCAGAAGTGAAATCAATGACTTCACAACTGCCACTACATTTTCATTGCCAAGCTGACAATTGCTATCGGGAGGCCAAGAACAGGTTTGTCAGTGGCTTCATGCTGATGTTGGTTATTTGAAGGTTTTCAGGAGTACTTCTCAGGGGTTTCTCCGGAAATCTCATTCCCACGAAGACGTCGATCAACTCTTCGGCCAGATCGCTCGGCTACTTCAAGGGAAAGCAATTTCAACTGCCAATGGCATGGTAGACTTCTTGAACAACGTAACAAAGCGACAGGGAACCTCAACAACTTCAGATTCTCAGCTTTTGAAGTCCACATGTGTTGCCTACAAACTGGATGAAGTTTCCTGCTGGAAAACCTTTGCCAACCAACACGCAGTTGCTCTCAAAGGCTTGCGCCATGTTCATTATCTACGATACTGTGAAAGAAAAGACATCGGGGCTGACGTGTTGCAAAACGTTTCTGAAATTGAGGAGATGCGGGGACACCACGGCAAACACCCGGGGGATATATTCCTCATCACAAAAAGATGGTTGGCCGACACTGAAATAGCCCGAGCCATCTGTGTGGTTCCCGTTGATCAGGCAAATGAAATTCGGAAACGGTATCATCTCCCTGGCGGCCTCGCAGAGAGACGGGCTATTGGGACCCAAGTCAATGCCAACATTGTTCGGTATGCATCCAGAGGCCACCGCCACGGCACCCTCAATGCTGAGGCCGCTGGTTACTTGTTGAATTGGGTCAAGGGCACGCTGGCAAAACACCCAAAGCCTGCAACTTATCCAATCTTGAACTACCGATTTGATCCAGCCGTGCAGACTGAGGAATGTGAACTGGGCACATGGAATGTGCCGGATGTCACTCTTGGGAGTGAAGTGGACGAAGGGGATGACTCATCTGAAGATGATGAGGGGGATGTCCAATTACCAGCAGCTCTGATGGGCCTGTAAAATGATGAGTGCCTGCGTTGGCTTTGGCCGGGGGATCGGAGAACCGACACTATGGGGAGGGTCCCACTGTCAGTTGACAGACTTGTTTTTGAGGGGCATCATGTGCCATAGGCTTAGACCGTTTCTACTGAGTTTTGTGGAACTCAATGCATTCCAATTTAAATTGAAATACTTCAGACAGAATGACTGGTCCTGGTACTTTTGAAGTAGACTTCCCAAGTTGGATAAGCCAAGTTGCTGATACCCTTGTGCCTCTCTTGTGCCCGAAGGTGCAAAGAAGAAGAGAAGTTAAGCATGGAGAAAGAAGGCGGCATCCTTTTTGAATCCGATGAAGGCAGGGCGGCAACAAAACGCCAATCTGGGATGAAAACAGTTGCTAGACAATTTCATTTGCTAAAGCAAGATTGCGACAACACATCGGATATCATTGCCTTGAAAAATAAATATATAAAGCACACACACGGGACACCTAGGACACCTAGGACTCATTTTGATCCACAGTTTTGTTGCAAATAGGTTTCCCATGCCAACCAATGTTCTGGCCAGAACCATCAAAGCAAAAGGCTGACACTACGGACGCGGAGGACGAAGAGCTTTTGCTGGCTTCGGATGATGACGGGGAGGGTACAGGTCAGCAGTCCCAAACAACCGAGAGGACTTTGCGCAAACTCCCATTCAACCATGTTCCCAATGTTTCTCGACTTTATATAATGGGATCATGTTCCAAGGGGTGCAACCAAAATACTACATAATAGCCCTAATAGCATCATAGTATATATTGTACACAATGATTGTCCACATGGTAGCCATGCTTGGTCATGTTTGGTGGGTTCATTGTCACAGTTTAAGATTAGCAATCATGGTTTCTGACCTTTGCGCTCTTTGCCATCTCAGGTTTCGGACTTCGTCAAGGTCTTCCTGCGCGAGCATAGCTTCAGGCCCCTCAAGGAGAAGCTAGCTGCCACGTTTAGGAGCATCGGCACTCTCCGGGTGGGGAGCATGTGCAGTGGATGGGGTGTTCTGGAGATGGTGATGGAATGCCTCCAGCATGAGTGGAACCTGCTAGAGGATGACAAGTCTGCCTTGAAGGCTTCAAACTGGTAAAGAGTCCAAACAATTAAAAACAAGTTGGGACCAGTTGTTCTGTTCAAGGGGGCGGTGCACCAAGTACTTGCAACACAAATTAAAGAGATTTGGAGACAACAGGTGGAAGATCATCTATTTGTTTCAACTGGTTTCCCTTGAGGTGAGTCTGGAATTTATGGTCGAGATTGACAAGCGCAAGCAAGAGTATCTGAGAACTCGGTTCCCAAGTGCGCGGTGGGTGTTCGACGATATGAAGGAGATGGGGAAGAAGTCGGCCAAAACATGGGATGGGTCTGAACAAACTATTCCTGAGGCGGGACACTCCAAACCACAGAATACTTACCTTAAACCTAATGATTGTCCAAAAGAGAAGTTTCCTCGGGTGGATGGTTTGAATATTTTTGGATCTAGTGTTATTTTGATCGTCTTTGGTATGCTTCTTTTTGGTCCCACACTGTTGAGGGCTGCGACTTTCAGTGGTCGATTGCACCGGCCCAGGTGGATCTCTTTGTGGCAGGTTTTCCCTGCGTCAGCATTTCCACGCTTACAGTGACGCCGGGAAGTGTGATGGATCCAGCATGCCAAAGCGGGTGTGGGTTCAGGGCAGTTGAGCAGTATGCTCGAAAGCGCCGTCCTCCGCTCATCCTTCTTGAGAATGTTGCATCACTGTTCCACAAGAGGAAG